AATATTTTTATTTAATTTTTTTCTACCACTCACATTTATTTCAGATAATGTATATATTAATTGTATTATATTATATTATATTATATTATATTATATTATATTATATTATATTATATTATATTATATTATATTATATTATATTATATTATATTATATTATATTATATTATATTATATTATTCATTCATTCATTCAATATTACAATTGTTTTCTGGGTTCAGTTTTTTTCTTCCCTGTTTGACTATATATTGTGAGCTATTGTTTTGTTCTGCTGAATGAAGTTGTTTTGTCTCTCAACATTACTTTTGCATTTTCTACCTCTTTTACCCTCTTTTCTCCTCACTTCATTCTCTCTTTTGGGTCACATGTGGAGGTTTAACCCTGCTCATCTTTCACACGCACTATTGACTGCTTTCACGATTCATTCACACCATTTGGTGAATTCTCACAGCTGTCCCCTCCAGTACACTCGCGTCTTCTCTAATATGTCTTGCTTTCCATTAGCCCCCCTCTCCTTTTCTCCTAAAGAAATCCCTAAAATCCCCAATTCCTCGCAGACCTCAGCTGGCCACTCCTGCTAAAAAGGCTCACGCACGCATCTTGAGCTCGAATGGCCGATTGTTCACCTCTGTCTCTGCGATTACCTTTCACGCCTGCTCACCCCGTCCCTCACCCAGAGGTCAGAGGTCAGCTGCTTCTTCAGCACCCCATGTTTAATTCATCATCCCTGTCTGTGTATGTGTGCATGTAATGCTCTCTGGAGACTTAGAGATGTGCTCTTGGTTATACGAAGTATGTGCCACCCCATGATTCCCATTTCTGCTGTCACAGCAATTGTACTTTAGCGTGTGTGAATGTATTGATCGTGTGGGGTCTGGGTGATTTGGAAGGGGTAGTGGACACTCACTCCATATGAATTTGAATTAATTGTCAAGGCTGTGTCATGTGAGAGACTCTTGATTCAGCCAGATTTTTTTGGATTGTAATGCAACAAGAGCAACGCCACTGGGTGTTTATGACAGTCGCATGCAAATGTTAAATTTAGCTGGGAGTCAGTGTCTGTGTGTTTGTATCCTTAACCTACAAACCTAGAAAACTCCCCAAGATGTCTCACTAGAGTGTCATCATTACTTTAGCTTTAAATCACACAAACCTTTAGCAAAAACGTCTGAAAGGATCTTAACCCTCTGGTGCTCCTCGTGTTGAGGTAAAAAATTACCAATTTAATTCAATTTTTTATTTTTTTACTTCAATGAAATGAATGTACTGTGTTTTTTATTTAATATTGCATTTGTATTTTTAGGGTATTTTATCTTGCTGTTGTCAAATAGAAACATCTGTTAGCCTCATAGCACAGTGACTTTGTGATTTTTTTCAGTTTGAACAAGGTTTTTTCCTAATCCGAGTAACCTGTGGCAGGCAGTTTCTGTTTTTGTAATGTTATATTTGTCGCCCCACCCACACTGAAATCTCATTGGTCTAAAATAGTTTCACTTCACGTTACTATACAACATCAAAATACATTCTGATCAGCTGTGATTGTCGCTTCATGGACATTTTTGTAATTTGCTTAATAGTGCTAATTAGCCATTAATTTAGTCTTTTTCGATTGTAAATTAAAATAAAGTAAATAAAAAATGAAATTATATATTTAAAATAATTACAAATTTGGAAAGTTCATTGTTTAATCATGGTCTAAAAATGTAATTTATTACGATTTTACTAACTAGTAGCAATAACTGAAGTGAGCTATGGTATCTCTCTCTCTTTACTGAATTATATTTATGCAGTAGTTATAATCCATTTATTACCTTTTTGAGCATAGATCTGAAAATGAAATTTCCAACTTAAACTGAATCTCAAATGCTTTGGAGCACAGACTTGAGTCTCTACCAAGAGGACATTTTGCAGATTATTGCTAAAGTGAAAAAAGTTAAACTTTGATATAAAATATTTATTTTCCAAAACATATTACTCTAAAACTGTGAGAAAATCAAAGCCATGAATCTAGACAAGTTCTGTTCCAAATTTGAGGTTGATAAAATAGCATTCAGTCAGATTTTCCACTACATGAATTTTTTTTCCATTTTTTTTCAACGTGTTCATTTTTGACCCCAAGGAGTACCAATGCGACTATTTTTTTCAGGACCATTTAATCTTTTCGAATCATGTCCATGATTCAAATCTGACTTTTACGTTTATGCATTTGGTTGACACTTTTATACAACATGACTTAAAGGGGTCATATGATGCGATTTCAAGTTTTCCTTTCTCTTTGGAGTTCTCTCTCTCTCTCTCTCTCTCTCTCTCTCTCTCTCTCTGTTCATTTGACAAGCTGTAGTTTAAACTTAATAATAAAAGTATCCACAGATGGTCACCGGAGGCCACACATGCACACCCACAAAGGCATATGACACACGCATCTGACAGTGATGGACAGGGAATGCAGTGAGAGGAAATCCATTAGCTCATCATGCTACAGACAGCCATATTCCTCCCTCTAATTAGTGCGGTTTGCTGAAGCAAGCATTACCATTACTACTGCTCAAGCTGAAGGACTTCAACAAATGCCGAGTATTAAACTTTGTCACTTCATGGTGGAATGTTTTGCATGGCCAAGCACCACTCACACTTAGTTTAGATAATAAACAATTTATTTTATTAATGTTATTATTTTTTAATTATATATATATCGTCCACGCCCTCCTAAAATGCCTCGTTTAAACACGCCCCCACATGTCTACGTCACTGTGTGGGAAGATTTGCATAACACTGCCCAAATGTTCACGCAAAGAAAGAAGGTGTAACTTTGATTCTCGCTGTAATATTTTTGCTGCCGCCGCCACGTCGTGGAGATGCCGTGTGTTTCATTGTGAAAGTGAAAATACTTTGTTTGGCCTTCCAAAAGAGGACACAACTAGAAATCAGTGGTTAAGTTGTGTTTACAACACTGTTCCAGAACAGTTCAACCCAAATATTCAGATGTGTGCAGCGCATTTTACGGAGGACT